CCCGCAGCCGGCAGCTGCCCGCACAAGGGACACGCTGCAACTTCCCATTTCGATGGCTTTTTCCCTAGGAGAGCAGTTCTTTCCACTGCCTGACGGCCTGTCAACAAATCTGTTGGCTTTTAATTACTTTTTTTTATATCCACCGCCACTGTTAAAGCCTGGCACTGGCCGACACCCGGCTCACCCCTCCGAAGGGCTCACTGGCGCTTTCCGAGCGTGAGCCTGGGCCGGGCGGCCGGTGCGACGGCGGCTCCCGGGCACGGGAGGATCCTCAGGTACGGTGTCGGTTTTGCACTACGTCCATCTGGGCACTGCAAAGCCGTGCCCGGGTGGTGGAGCGTTTGTAGCAAAAGGCAACGAAAGCCGAGCGTGTAACTGAAACCGGGCAGACTCGTCCGGCCAACTCGCCCGCTGCTGCCTCGACGTGAAAACGAGAAGTTTATAGAGCGACGTGAACTTGTCATTTCCAAACCAGATCAGCTGCGGTAGGAGGTGGGATGAATAGCGTGTAGGAAGCTCAGGTATTCCCTTGGCAGCGGGATCGGACGATGTCTTCACCCTGAGATGTGTGTGCAGTCCGTGGTGCCGAGTGGGGGCACCGCTCCCCGTCCATGCTGGCAGCTGTCGGTGTGACTCGGTGAGAGCTGCATGGAGCCCATCCAGGCCCGGGTGCTGCTGCTGCCCTCGTTTGAGGGCTCTCGTTAGCCCTGACGTGCCCAGACTCAGCTGCCGTGGCCCATGTCGGACGCGGGCACGCTTTGTGCCATCTCGGATATACACCACCTGGGTGGCTGGGGTGGGAATTGCATTGAAGCTTGGCAGCGCGTGGGGCAGCCTGGAGTGGACAAGGCTTCCCTCTATTGCGGACTAGTTACCTGGTCTTTTTTGTTCTTTTTTGTTTTTCTTTCTCTTTTTTTGGCATTACATGTTCTCTGCTCTGCAAAATCAGCTCAACGTGCTCCCCAGGAGCAAAGAATCTGGTTTGTCCCTGCCCTCTCCAGGTCTCCAGCTGTTGGGCAGCTGTGCTGCAGCTAGCTCAGGCTCAGCCTGGGGTTGAGCAGAGCTTTATCGGTTGAGCTCCGAGGCGTTGATTAGCTCGATGGATCTTAACAAGGTTAAAATTGCGTTTTCCAGTGGGGATCCCCTCCTGCATCGGAGGGGCTGCTCCTCCATCCCTGCGCTGCCGGAGCCCGGGGCCGGCGCAGCTGGAGGTGCCGTGGTGCAGCCCAGGGGAGGTGGTGACGGGGTGTCCCAAATTCGGGGGTGAGGGTGCCTCAAGGGGGTCGTGTGGAGATGCTGGAGAGCACTGAAACTATGAAAACGAGTGGGAATCGATGCAAACGGTACAGGGCGAGTGTTAATATTTGTTATTTAAATGTAGAAACCTAGATCATGCCGTTCCTTTTTTCTTCTCCCTTTTGCTTTATTTGCACTAGTGTTCGAAATCGTGGGGGTTTTTTAGGCTGATTTGCTATTTGGCTCATAACACGGTGTTCCAAAAGTGTTTTAATCGTTTGGAAAGCCTGTCAATCATAGAGTCACAGCGTTTGGTGACTCTGACCTCATTTCTGGAAAACAGCAAACGCAGAGGGACGATGGTTCCTTTGTGCAAGGCTTCGAAACCACGGAGTACCAAGGGTTTTTTGTTGCTCGATAATTGCAAAGTTTCCTCGGGCCTGGGATGGTAAAGCAGAAGCTTGTTGCACAATTAGGGTTAATTATCCAGGAGGAGAAACTACCAGTGGCTCCAGTGCTATTGCAACATTCCTGTTTCTCATTCCCACCCTCCCCGTGTCCCCAGGACAGCGTAAAGGTTGGACGTGAGCCTAAACCGAGCGTGTTCAAAGACAAGCCGGGCTCCGGACCCGTCCGCGCCGCGGGCGGTGTTGCAGGAGGAATTTCTCTCCCATCCCCAAGCACCAGGCAGATGCCACCAGACCTTGATGGAGCTTTGCAGCGATTTTTAAAGCAAACTGGTGTCCCCTCAGTGCTGCGTTTGCCTCCTGGCTCTCCTGCGTGGGGTGAACGCATCCCCCCGAAGCTGCTCCCTTTCGAAAATGAAGCGTGTCCTCTGAGTTCCGCCCTTTCCTCGGGATGCGTGTGGGAAGGAGTGGTGCGAGAGGTGGATTTTCCCTTTTCTGTGAAAACTCCCAAGCGGTTTCAGCTGTTCCCGCGAGTGCTGGCTGCGGGTTTCAAGTGCTCTTAGGGCTGGGGTGCCTCGCACGGACGATGCTCCGTGACTGCCCCAGTGTTGGTTACCCACCGCCCACCCCTCGCCCGCAAGCGCTGGCTGCAGGTGGAACGCCCTTCTGCCCTGTGTTTTTAAATAAAGAAGGAAATCCCAGTCACTCTTCCAGGCTGTTGGCATTGTGTATTTTGGGTAGTGATGGCTGGGGGGCCGAACGCTGTCCCCGCTGGGGCAGGGGCACAGGGCGCAGCGGCTGGGGGTGCTGCGGGGGCGAGGGGAGGAGAGTGGCAGCGCTCTGCCTTTCTGAACGCGCGGGCGGGAGGAAGGCTGTCGGACCAATACCCCGGTATTCCTCAGCGTAGTCAGTGACAGCCTCTCACAGGGAAGGAATTTGGGGTCCTGCTGTGAGCTGGCAGCTGCTGGGCTGAGGACACGGGGAGCTGTTAATGACGATGGGCTTTTGCACATGGGATCATTATTTTTTTTTCTTTCTGGCTCACTGCATAATTTCCTCCCCCACCCCGTGGGCTTTTCAGCCCTGTTGTTCCACTGGTCTGAAGAATGTGGTAGTTTCATGATGAAGCCTCCCCCTGCCCCCCCTGCTCTGAGACCTATTTGAAGCTGCCAAATTCAGATTACTTGTGACCTAAATGGGATATAAACCCCATTCCCTGGAGAGGAGGAGTTGTTGCAATAAACCACAAACCAAAACTGGAACAGGCAGAATTCCCGGCCAAACTGAACCCTGTCGCAGCTCTGTTGGAGGCAGGAGAAGTTGTGCAGGCAGAAATTAGCCAAATGGAAACGGCTGGAGGCTCCTTGGTTTGCAGAACTGTGAGAACGGAGCATGTATGTTTGCTGTATTTTACGTCAAATGTGACCAGACTTTTGCATACGCAGATTTTGTGTCTAGTTCGGGCTGTGACTTACTGCAGCTTCCTTTTCCCGTTTTTATTCAGCTCAGTACGTTTTCAGACTACATCTGGTGGGGCTTCCTCTTTTGGGTGCTTGGTTACTTGAAGCTCCCACTCATTTCGGTACCACACGCACCCTGTGCCATGGGCTGGAGCCGGGGGGTGACTGGAACGCAGACAGGAGTTGCCACTCGGCATCTCTGACCCCTTCCCAGCTCTCTGACAGCTCCCATCCATTCCCTGCAGCTCCAGGTGGAAATGAGCCTTCTGTCACTAACGAGGCAAGGCTGGTGTTTAACAGTTTTGTAAGACATAAACGGCTGCCACTGAACAGTCGTGGTTTTACAGAATACGACTATCCGGCAGCAGGGAAAGGGAACACCCCGGGCAGCAGGATGCAGTATGTTTTGAAAAGCACACTTAGTTACTGCGAAGGGCAGGGGGCAGGAGGAGAAACAGGTAATTTTAAAATAACACAGGCACTACTTTGGAGTGGTTGCAGTGTCCTGCAGGTGTTTCGTAAGAACGAGCACAGCAGGGGAGTTACATCAATGGACACAAGTGATCCTTCCAGAGGCCTGAAGAGTAACTTTATTTGCTGCACCGTGGCTTTCCCTGCCTGCAAGAGAGGAGAAAGTAATGTTCTCCAAAGGGTGCAGGCTCTACTGCATCTAACCCAGCTTCCCCTGCAGCCAGTGAGCAGGGTTTTACACAAATCATGTAGAATTAGAGCTCGTCGCTTTGTCACAGAGTCTCTAGCATTGTGCTGCATTACTTGGCCTTAAAGGTTTGCAAAGTCTGGTAACAAAACCACAGACGAGTGGCTGTGTGTACTCCACTAATACTGAAAGCACATGAAGTCAGCCCCTTACAGAGTTTATTAAGATTTGTTTGACCACCTCTGCTTGCAAGGTCTGAGTTCTTAAACTGTTACCACTTGGGAAGGAATCCAGATTATTTTAAACAAGCAAAATCTATACTGAACAATTTTGTGTCCGAGTTTTGTACAGCAGAATTAACAAGAATAATTGTTCTGCACAGTAAGTTGCAGCTTTGTAAATCCATGTTTGTGCAAGGCAGGAGCCCGCTCTGCCGCCACGGGACAAGCGCAGGAGTCCGTCTCCAGTCCCGCAGAGACGCTGCCGGCCTGCCCCGGGCTCCGCTCCGCTCGCTCAGTACACGGTGCACCAGTTGCTGCCATCGCTGGGCATCAGCCCACCCGTGATGAGCAGGATGAGATCAACGAACCACCAGATGCCGAGTCCGCCCAGGGTCAGCAGCTTCCCCACGGCGGTGCCGGTGTGGCCCAGGCAGAACCGATCCACTCCGAAGCAGCCCAGGAAGAACGAGTAGAGCAGAGTGGTGATGAAATAGTGCCCGGTGTACCTGCAACGGCAGCGGGCGGGGGCGCGCCGGG